TGACTGCAAGAAGTGTCTTAATACAAGAAAGAGGACGGAGAAGATGGGAAATTGCAGATAGAGTTCCCTTTAGGGTGTGTTGGGTGCAGCAGCTTTGCTTTAAGTAAAAGAATAGGATTCCAAATAGTCCAGAAGTACAGAGAATATTGAAATTAATCAGGGACATGTTAGGAAAGGGATTCTGAAGCCAATTTGGAGAACCACAAAAATCCACTTACTTACAGAGCTTTCTTTTTCTTTTTGAGGCAAGGTCTGGCTCTGTCACCCAAGCTGGAGTGCAGTGGTACAATCTCTGTTCACTGCAACCTCCGCCTCCCATGCTCAACCCGTCCTCCCATCTCAGCCTCCCAAGTAGCATGACTACAGGCACACACCACCATACCCATCTAATTTATATGTGTGTGTGTGTGTGTGTATGTATACATATATACGTATATACAACAGATGTGAGTATACAAATATACATATATACACACATATACATACACACACACACACACACACACACACACACATATATATATATATATATATATATATATTTTTTTTTTTTTTGAGATGGAGTCTTGCTGTCACCCAGGCTGGAGTGCAGTGGCATGATCTTGGCTCACTACGACCACCAACTCCCAGGTTCAAGCAATTCTTCTGCCTCAGCCTCCTAAGTAGCTGGTATTATGGGCACCCGCCACCACACATGGATAATTTTTTTTTTTTTTTTTTTTTTTAGCAGAGACGGGGTTTTCCATGTTGACTAGGCTGCTCTTGAATGCCTGACCTCAAGTGATCCACCCACCTCAGCCTCCCAAAGTGTTGGCATTACAGGCATGAGCCACCACACCCAGCCATCTGTCTGTCTATCTGTCTATGTATCTATCTATCTATCTATCTATCTATCTATCTATCTATCTATCATCTATCTATCTGTCTGTCTGTCGAGACAGGGTCTCACTCTCGTTGCCCAGGCTGGAGTACAGTGGCAGACCTCAGCTCACTACAGCCTTGACCCTCCAGGCTAAAGCAATCCTCCCACCTCAGCCACTCAAGTAGCTGTGACTACAGGTGTGCACCATCACGCCTGGCTAATTTTTTATATTTTCAGTAGAAATGGGGTTTCACCACGTTGCCCAGGCTGGTCTCAAATTGCTGGTATTAAGTGATCCACCCGCCTTGGCCTCCAAAAGTACTGTGATTACAGGTGTGAGCCACCGCACCCAGCCTATTATTTATATTTCTTGTAGAGATGGGGTTTCACCATGTTGCCCAGACTGTTCTCAAACTCGTGAGCTCAAGTGATCCACCCACCTGGGCTTCCCAAAGTGCTGGGATTACAGATGTGAGCCACCAACCTGACTCAGAGCTTTTTAAAAAACTAATACATATGTGGTAAACAAAAGGCATATCACAAAATGGAAATTTTCCTCCCATTCCAGACCCTACTACTATTTCCCAAAAGACCCCCATCAGCACTTTTTCATATATGCTTCCAAAATTGTTACATAAATATATACCCATAACCAGCCGGGCGTGTTGGCTCACACTTGTAATCCCAGCACTTTTGGAGGCCAAGGCAGGTGGATCACCTGAGGTCAGGAGTTCAAGAGCAGCCTGACCAACACAGTGAAACTTCGTCTCTACTAAAAATAGAAAAATTAGCCGCGCATGGTGGTGGGCACCTGTAATCCTAGCTACTCTGGAGGCTGAAGCAGGAGAATTGCTTGAACCTAGAATGTGGCAGTTGCAATGAGCTGAGATCATGACACTCCACTCCAGCCTGGGCATCAGAGCAAGACTCTGTCTTAAAAAAAAAAAAAAAGGCCGGGCGCGGTGGCTCACGCCTGTAATCTCAGCACTTTGGGAGGCCGAGGCAGGTGGATCACGAGGTCAAGAGATCGAGACCACCCTGGTCAACATGGTGAAACCCCGTCTCTACTAAAAATACAAAAAATTAGCTGGGCATGGTGGCGCGTGCCTGTAATCCCAGCTACTCAGGAGGCTGAGGCAGGAGAATTGCCTGAACCCAGGAGGCGGAGGTTGCGGTGAGCCGAGATCGCGCCATTGCACTCCAGCCTGGGTAACAAGAGCGAAACTCTGTCTCAAAAAAAAAAAAAAAAAAAAAAAAAAAAAAAAAAAAAAAAGTCTTGTCTCAAATCTTGTACTTCATTCCATCATCACTCTGCTCAAAATTCAAAATCACGGAGAAATTTAGCGTCTCATACCCACTCCCAATGGGGTATGAAAAAAGTTGAAAAGATCTTCCCAAGACTCCTTCAATTTAAGTATTGGAGGGCAAGCGTTGGGATTTGATATCCTCCCCCCAGCCGCCCAACTGTACATGATGAAGAGACAAGTTCACAAGAGGACTGGGAATTTTTTTTTTTTTTTTTTGAGACAGGGTCTCACTTTGTTCCCCAGGTTGGAGTGCAGTGGCATGATCTCAGCTCACTGCAGCCTCTGCCTCCGAGACTCAAGCGATTCTCATGCCTCAGCCTTCCAAGTAGCTGGGGTTACAGGCATGTGCCACCACACCTGACTAATTTTTGTATTTTAGTAGAGACAGGGTTTCACCACGCTGGCCAGGCTGGTCTTAAGCTTCCGACCTTAGGTGATCTGCCTATCTCGGCCTCTCATAGTGCTGGGATTACAGGCATGAGCCACCATGCCCAGCCTCAGTAACCTCACTTTGAAAAAAGGATCTAGGGCACATGCTGAATGCTCAGTAAACACATATTCAGTTAGTGAATAATTGTTCGATTGAAGAGGAGGGCTCCTTTCTTTTTCCCTGGGTCAGTCTGGTGGAGTAATAGCTTTGCCGTTGAGAATAAGTACTCTCCTAGCACCATCTGCTGGCAGTGGAAAACCATTTCCGTAATCCTGGCCTCAATCCCATTCAGCCTTGAAATACTGGTCCTTTGTTTTGTTTTGTTTTTTTGTTTGTTTTAAAGAGACGAGGTCTTGCTATGTTGCCCAGTCTAGAGTGCAGTTGCTATTCACAGGCACGATCCCATTACTGATCAGCACGGGAGTTTTGATCTGCTCTTGCTTTGTCACCCCGGCTGGAGTGCAGTGGTGCAATCTCAGTTCACTGCAACCTTTGCCTTCCAGGTTCAAGTGATTCTCCTGCCTCAACCTCCCAAGTAGCTAGGACTCTAGGCGTGCGCCACCACACCTGGCTAATTTTTGTATTTTTAGTAGAAATGGAGTTTTGTTTTGCCAAGTTGCCGAGGCTGGTCTTGAAATCCTGAGTTCAAGTGATCCACCCACCTCAGCCTCCCAAAGTGCTGGAATTACAGGTGTGAGCCATCAGCGCCTGGCTGGAGTATTGTTAACCCTAAAATCCCTCCTCCTCTAATATTATTGGTACCACAGAATCTACCTTTTATCCCTAGACAGGAGAAACCACAAAACATTAACTTTCTGCTTTTTGGTTTACTATTTAGTGGATGTCTTACACTTTAGCGACACTTGTGTTTTGCCTCTTTATGAAGATACATGGTGAGGTGCTCAAAGAGAATGAGCTTTCCTCTTCCAGTGCGTGACCCTGAAGACTGTGTTGTCCTGACATTCATCAGACAGTGACCTCTGCCCATGGCACTCTTTCTGGCTGGACTAGTTACATGGCAATACGATGCCTTCAGCTGCCACCAATATCAGTATCAACAGTGCCAAAATCAAGAAATTGGTGCTAGAGCCTTAGGATCAGTGATGAGTAAGCAGGCATGGTTCCTGCCCTCCGAGTATCACCTGGAAGAAATATTAAAAATATAATAATGTGCTGAGGGAATTCAGACTCTATCTAGAGTCTTATTAGCCAGCCCATAGACCAGTAGCACCAGCATCACTCCAAAGCCTGTTAAACATGCAGAATATCAACTCCCCACCCAGCCTTCTGAATAAAAATCTGTATTTTAGTACAATCTTCAGATGACTCCCATTCAATATTCATGCTTGAGAAGTGCTGCTCTGGAGGTTTCCAGAGATGACAGGACTTGTGTTGTTTTTCAGAATTTTTAATTTATAAAGAAACTTTCAATTTTTTTTTTTTTTTTTTTTTTTTTTTTTTGAGACAGTCTGTCGTCCAGGCTGGAGCGCACTGGAGCAAACGGCTCATGCAGCCTCCCCTCTCCCGGGTCTCCCGGGTTCCATCGACTTTCCTACCTCAGCCTCCCTAGTAGCTGGTCCTTCAGGCACGAGCCACCATGCCCAGCTAATTTTTAGTAGAGACGGGGTTTCACCATGTTGGTCAGACTGGTCTCCAACTCCTGACCTCAAGTGATCCACCGCCTTGGCCTCCCAGAGTGCTGGGATTACAAGTGTAAGCACCACGCCCGGCCTACTGTTTTTCAGGCTTTTATATAGACCGGGAGGGAAGAACGCATATTCCAGGCGATGAGAGCTGTGTAACGAATTTATTTATTTATTTATGAGACGGAGTCTTGCTCTGTCACCCAGGCTGGTGTGCAGTGGCGTAATCTCGGCTCACTGCAACCTCCACTCGAGACAGGGTTTCTCCATGTTGGTCAGGCTGGTCTCGAACCCCTGACCTCAGGTGATCCGCCCGCCTCGGCCTCCCAAAGTGCTGGAATTACAGGACGTGAGCCACCGCGCCTGGCCTGTATAACGGTTTTATATGGCAAGGAAGCATGTTGTAGTTTTCGGTCCAGCAGTAATAGTAACAGACACTGTGCTAAGCACTTTCTATAGGGAATCTCCAGTAATCCTCGTAACGCCATTAGGTACATCTATTATTACTGTATACCCACTTTATGGGTAATGAACCCGCAGTATATAGACGGGTTAAAGAACGTGTTTAAGGACCCGACGGAGCCCAGCAGACGGAATCGCAGCTACCTTCTTTACCAATCTTAAGTCCTCAACCAACACTTCCACCTACATATGAGACCCAAAGCCATAGGCCTCCCATAGACCGACAACGCTTCGCGGAGCTGGCCAGTCCTTCTCCTGAGAGACGCTCAGCAGAGCCACGCCGGAAGTGCGGCGCCGTCGCTAGAGCGGAAGCCGGAAGTACATTGCGGGAAGCACTTCATTGTTCACCGCCAAGCTGTCAGTATGGTGAAACTAACTTACAAGAAAAGGGCTGAGTTTTGAAAATGACACAGGCTCTAAAAAGCTTGGAAGCCCTGCAACTTTTGGCAGGAATTGTGGTTAGCAGGACCTCAGCGGCTCACTGCTCCTAAATGGAAGTTGGCTCTTTGGGTCCTCCAGCCTGAGCTAGAACAGACGTCTCTATGGTCAAGTAAGCCGCACGAGTGCTGTTTTCCTCACGTGGTGGGGTTGCGCATGATCAGTAGCTGCTACACCGGGAAGATGGCGGAGCAAGAGTGAGTGTTTGGGGCTTTGAATTCTTGGAGTTGGGTCTTGAGTATCTGGTGCCATCCACGGTGTTTATGCTTCGGAGGCCGATTCTTGTGGGCTCTAGGAATAGAAAAGGCCACAGTTTACAGAGGTTTGGGATGAGGAGCCGTGGCTTTGGGGTGGAGAAGAGAGGGGACCGCGGTCAAGTTCGGGTTATCTAGAGAAGCGAGAATTGACAGGCAGCGGGACTGGAGTGCCACAGTGGAATTCACCCAGTCTAACAAGTATCTGACCTATCTGACCCTGCAGATAGATCTCCACCCTCCCGACCCCATGGGGTTTTACTAGACTCATCGCTGCTAGTGCCTATAAAGAGTTGTGGCAGTGAACACCCTGTTAACTTACAGGAACCCAGGGGCCAAAGTCTTCATTACTTTCTGAGGCTTTGGGGGGGTGAGTGAATATTAGGAGTACATTTTGAGGGCTGGAGTCAGAAACCACAGGTTTCAGGGGAATCGTCAGACACTTGAAAACAGTAATGTTCCCTGAAGCCCAGTATATTGAATTGGTTTGGGAATCCCATTGAATGTTCGTTTTCTTTTTTGTTGTTTTTGCTTTGAGATGGGGTCTTGCTCTGTTGCCTAGGGTGAAGTGCAGTGGCGCGATCTCAGCTCACTGGAACCTCCGCTTCCCGGGTTCAAGCGGTTCTACTGCTGAGCCTCCAGAGTAACTGGGATTACAGGCGTGCGCCACCACGCCCGGCTAATTTTTGTATTTTCAGTAGAGATAAGGTTTCACCATGTTGGTCCGGCTGGTTTTGAACTCCTGACCTCAGGTGATCAGTGCTGGGGTTACAGACGAGCCACTTTTCTAAATGTTATCTCTGATCCCAATTTTCTGCATCAGGCAAAGAAAAATCCCTTTGGTTCCAGAAAATCTCCTGAAAAAGAGGAAGGCTTATCAAGCCCTCAAAGCCACTCAGGCAAAGCAGGCACTTTTGGCAAAGAAGGAGGTAATGGTGGGGAACCAAGAGGAAGTAATTAGAATTTGTATTTGGGGAGTTTTATCCAGCATGTGTTAGACTGTATTTGATATTGACAAGTTCCCGGCAACGGTTTGACAAACTAGGTATAGTCATCCCGCAGTATCCTTAAGGGGTTGGTTCCAGGACCCCCCACAGATGCCTAAATCTGACACTGCTGGAGTCCCTTATATAAAATGGTTGTAGTATTTACATACAATCTATACGCCCGTGTGGTTTAAATCATCTCTGGATTAATAGCTTGCTTTTTTGAGGCAAGAGTCTCACTCTTGCCCAAGCTCCAGTGCAGTGGCAGAATCTCACTGCAACCTCTGCCTCCTGGGCTCAAGCAATTCCCCTGCCTCAGCCAACCGAGTAGCTAGGATTACCGGCATGTGCCTCCACACCCAACTAATTTATTTTATTTTATTTTTATTTATTTATTTTTTTTTGAGAGGGAGTTTCGCTCTTGTTACCCAGGCTGGAGTGCAATGGCGCGGTCTCGACTCACCGCAACCTCCGCCTCCTGGGTTCAGGCAGTTCTCCTGCCTCAGCCTCCTGAGTAGCTGGGATTACAGGCACGTGCCACCATGCCCAGCTAATTTTTTGTATTTTTAGTAGAGACGGGGTTTCACCATGTTGACCAGGGATGGTCTCGATCTCTTGACCTTGTGATCCACCCGCCTCGGACTCCTAAAGTGCTGGGATTACAGGCTTGAGCCACCATGCCCAGCTATTTTATTTTCGAGATAGTTTCACTCAGTCACCCAGGCCGGGGTGCAGTGATGCCGTCTTGGCTCACCAAAACCTCCGCCTCCTGGGTTCAAGCGATTCTCCTGCCTCAGCCTCCCAGATAGCTGGGATTACCAGGATGCACCGTTGTGCTGGGCTAAGTTTTGTATTTTTAGTAGAGGCGGGGTTTCACCATGTTGGCCAAGCTGGTCTCCAACTACTGGACTCAAATGATCTGCCCACCTCAGCCTCGCAAAGTGCTTCAATTACAGGCATGAGCCACCCCTCCCGGCCACCAGCTAATTTTTGTCTTTTCAGTAGTGGTGTTTTGACCTTAGCCACACTGGTCTCAAACTCCTGGCCTCCCAAAGTGCTGGGATTACAGGCCTGAGCCACCCCACCTGGCCTCATATTTTTCCCCCTGATTTTTTGTTTTTTGTTTTGAGATGGATTTTCCTCTTTCGCCCAGGCTAGAATGAAGTGGCATCTCAGCTCACTGCACCTCCCGGGTTCAAGCAATTCCCCTGCCTCAGCATCCCCAGTGGCTGGGATTTTAGGTGTCTGCCACCACGCCAGGCTGGTCTCTTAACTCTGATCTCAGGTGATCTGCCCACCTCAGCCTCCCAAAGCTAGGATTACAGGCGTGAGCCATTGCACCTGGTCTTTTTTTTTTTTTTTTCTTAGGAGTAAGGTCTTTTGCCAGGAGGCTGAGGCAGAAGAATTGCCTGAACCCAGGAAGCTGAGGTTGTACCACTGCACTCCAGCCTGGGCAGCAGAACGAGACTCTATCTTGAAAAAAAAAGGAGTGCGGACATCTTCCGTTGCCCAGGCTAAAGTGCAGTGGCAGGATCATAGCTCCTTGCAGCCCTGAATTCCTGGGTTCAAGAGATCCTCCCACCTCAGCCTCCTGAGTAGCTGGGACTACAGGATGAGCCACTGCATGTGGGCTCCTCTGAAATATTTTACATCTGGGATTGGTAGAATTGTAGATGCAGGGCGCCAAGTGTATATGGTTCATGTCGTCGTTTAGCAAATATTGAACACCTGCGGGCAAAATGCTGGAGTTTGTTAAGGAAACTTGTTAGTAAACATTGATTAATAGCATGTAAATTAATTTTTTGTTTGTTAATTATTTTTCCCAATAATTCCCAAGTTTTACTCCACTTTTACTTTGGTTTCTAATTTTTCTTTTATATGAAAACAGAGGGTCTTGCTTTGCTCCCCATTGTAGAACACAGGGCAAAAGCTCTATCAGTTGTCACTCATGAATTACTTTTCTAAAAGTAAAAATGTATGGAGGCACAAAATGATGATGGTGATGATGGTCTGTCTTCTCTGTAGCAGAGGAAAGGAAAAGGGCCCAGGTTTAAGCGATTGGAATCATTCCTGCATGATTCCTGGCGGCAGACACGTGACAAGGTGCGTGTCAGACGACTAGAAGTGAAGCCTCACGCCTTGGAATTGCCAGATAAACATTCTTTGGCCTTTGTTGTACGCATCGAAAGGTAAGGAACTGGTGTCTTCCTAATTGCATGAGGCTGGGGCAAACTGCTGGTTAAACTTTAGACCCATTTCTAGGGAGATAAGATATTAGGCCCCAAGCCACTCAGGCGAGTTACGCTAGGATGTCAGGGTTAAGCACAATTTAGTCTGCAGTATTTGGAAGACCTCCTTAGACAGATAGGCTTGGAAATAAGTGATGTGAGGGTAAAGTGCTCACTAAGGAGATGGGTTGAGGACACCCTCTCTAAAGCAGGAACTTCAGCCTGAGACCTGAAAGATGTTAAAGGTGTTTACCGGTGTTGGGAGACTTTGTAGGCATACGTGCTAAAGTCCTGAGGTGGGGAAATCATTCTAGGAACTGAAACAAGGCCAAGTGGATGAAGCATATTCTTTGAAGGGGAGATATTTTCCCTCATTTAGTAGAACTTTCCTGACCCCATCCCCACTCCCTTTGTACAACTCTACTTCTTGCTGTTTCCCCTACCCAATCACCCTGTGGCTTTTGCATATTTCTGAGCTCTGTCCTTTGTGGCCCTCTGCCATTGTGCATATTTTTCCTAGACTATTAACATTCCTCCTGGACGCTGTGATCTGTCCCATACACCGCCCTTGGTGATTGTCAGAAGGAAATCTGGTGGTGTTGCTTCTGCTTAAAATCTTCAGTAGTGGTTAGGCACGGTGGCTTATGCCTGTAATCCCAGCACTTTGGGAGGCCAAGGAGGGCAGAGCACGAGGTCAAGAGATCAAGACCATTCTGGCCAACATGGCAAAACCCTGTCTCTACTGAAAATACAAAAATTAGCTGGGCATGGTGGTGTACGCCTGTAGTTTCAGCTGCTCAGGAGGCTAAGGCAGGAGAATTGCTTGAACCCAGGAGGCAGAGGTTACAGTGAGCCAAGATGGTGCCATTGCACTCCAGCCTAGGTGGCAGAGTGAGACTCCAGTCTCAAAAAAAAAAAATCTTCAGTAGCTTTTACTGCCCATACAAGCACATCCAGCTTGCTTAGCTGGACATGTGTAGACCTACATAACACCACTCCCCTCACCCCTGACACACACACAAATTCAGGGACTTTCTCTGTGTTTCCAGTAGCACTCCAGGCATTGCCCCACATCATGAAAGGATATGTTTTCATAACCATCTCCCACTAAACTGAGCTCTTAAAGGCATGGTCTTACTCCAGATACCCAGTGTAGTGACCTCCAATACTGTGCTTGCTGGACTGACATAAACTGGAGGGAGTCTGTCTGACTTGTGTTGCTATTCATTTCAGGATTGATGGTGTGAGTTTACTGGTGCAGAGAACCATTGCAAGACTTCGCCTAAAGAAAATTTTTAGTGGTGTCTTTGTAAAAGTCACTCCCCAGACCCTAAAAATGCTACGTATAGTGGAACCTTATGTGACCTGGGGGTAAGTAAGATTTCCCGTGTGAATTCACATTAGATTTCTCTTTGAGTGTGTTAGGGTGCACTGGGTCTTGCTCTCCAGGCTTCATGTTGCTGTAGAAGGAACATTTTGCTGTGACCACAGTCACCCTGAAATCAGCAGGTAGCTGTAAGAACCATAGCACACGGGGTAGGGAGGGGTCTTAACAGTGCTGGAGTAGGGCTGGTTCAGTTGTAGGCTAAGGCTGGATCAAGCAGAGATTGGTTCTTGGAAGTCTTAAAGCAGAGCTAAGTGGGCAGTGCTTGTGTAAGAGTAGTATTGCTCAAACATTGAAACTCAACAAAAGCTTGGATTTCATTTCTAGCTCTTGCGCCATCTTGAGTCCTAGACCCTAAGCTAGGACATGGTTTCTGTTTTGTTTTTGTTGGCGATGTTTTCCCTGGTGAACATTTACATCCATAAATTTAAATTTCTAATTATGTAAGTGGGGTCACATCAGTTCTTAATCAGGAATGTTTCCAAGCATCCCAGCTGGCATGTGCTTACAGAACACTTGCTGGCAGGGAGAAGGGGGTGGGTGGGAAAACCTCTCCAACCTTCTCGGCCAGGCTGCGGGACTGGTATATAGTGTGCCAGGTGCTGGTGAAAACTGTGCTTTCTTTTACCCACATAGATTTCCAAATCTGAAGTCTGTCCGGGAACTCATTTTGAAACGTGGACAAGCCAGGGTCAAGAATAAGACCATCCCTCTGACAGACAACACTGTGATTGAGGAGCACCTGGGTGAGTGCTGCAGCTTAGGGATCAGTTGGAGAAAGATTTTTTTGATGTGAGATTCTGGTTGTATTATTTTTGGGGTCCCAAGAGCCTGCCAGAGTGCCTAGCTTAGTATATGCTGGATACATGTTGAATAAAGGAATATGTGCCTTTGTTTCTTAGGGAAGTTTGGTGTCATTTGCTTGGAAGACCTCATTCATGAAATTGCCTTTCCCGGGGAAGCATTTCCAGGAGATCTCATGGTTCTTGCGCCCTTTCCACCTCTCAGTGGCCCGTCATGCTACCAAAAATAGAGTGGGCTTCCTCAAGGAGATGGGCAAACCTGGCTATCGGGGTGAACGCATCAATCAGCTCATCCGCCAGCTGAACTAGAATCAGGTGAGGCAGGGCTGAGAACTGCTCTTGGACTGTGGGTGGGCCACACCTTGCCACTTTAAAAGTTCTTTTTGCATTTACCAGTTATTAAGAGTAACCTTGAGATTGGGAGGAAAGAGGAGGTGGGTACAAGTAGTTGGAGACCTGGGAGCAATGAATATCTGATTAGGATGTGGGGCTATGCATAGCCTAGTAGTTATAGGCTTAAAAATGTCAAATAACTAAAAACTATTGCTGTAGTCATTTAGTTGGAAATGAGGAAAGAATATTAATAACTGATTGCAAAAAGGACTTGAAGATGTGAATCATCTATATTGCTGAAGAAATCTTAACTCTTTCTGAAATTACATTTTATTCCTGTTGTATTTACTCTAGGTGCCAAACTGCAACAAATTTTTATCAATGAAGTGGAAGCATGTGTTTTTGGTTTTGGAGAATTTGTATCAAGGATCTTCAGAGAAGATTATTTCCTGTTCTATCTTTAAAAACTGGAAAGGAAGGGTCAAAGAAAAGACAGTAGCTGGCCAGGCACAGTGGCTCATGCCTGTAATCCCAGTACTTACTCCTGCTGAGGAGGGCGGATCACCTAAGGTCAGGAGTTTAAGACCAGCCTGACCAACATAGCGAAACCCTGTCTCTACTGAAAATACAAAAATTAGCGGGCATGGTGGCCCATGCCTGTAATCCCAGCTACTCGGGAGGCTGAGGCAGGAGAATCGCTTGAACCCGGGAGGCAGAGGTTGATGTGAGCCAAGATCACACCATTGCACTCTAGCCTAGGCAACGAGCACTCTGTCTCAAAAGAAAAAAGAAAAGAAAAAAACAGTAGCTTATGTTCATGGCAGGCACCTCTCATCACAGTCCAGTTCCAAGGAAGAATTCCAGCGTGTTCTACATTGGCTGCTGCCTCGTCTGAAATCAGCACATTCCATGGAGGAAGGAGTTCTGCTTTGCTGCATCTCTTATCCTAGGGTTTAATGTTGGTAATCGAGTAACTCTAGCATTTGTACACAGCTCCCTAAGACTCCTGCAGCAGTGGACAAGCCCAGGGACATAATTGAATCTGGCGATTCCTGGGGCCTTGTGAGAAAGACTTGAAATACACATAAGAGGAAAGGTACAAAAATAAATGTTTACTTGTCTCTGCTGAGTCTGTTCCAGTTTTTCAGTGATGGCTTTGAGAGCTCTCAGAATTGACTGGCTCTAAGTGTGTCTGGTGGATTTTGTATCCCAATCTGACACTGGCTTAGTACTTTTTCCTAAAAGGAAAAAGTATTTGAGAATGAGGACCCCTTCGCCAGGAAAACACGTATATGCTCAAAATTTTGCTTGCCGTTCTAGGACGTTTAGAACCTTGTCAGATACCTGTGTACCTTATGGGTTTTTGGGTTTTTTTGTTTTTGTCTTCGTTTTGAGATAGAATCTCTTGCCTACGCTGGAGTGCAGTGGTGTGATCTCATTTCACTGCAGCCTCCACCTACTGGGTTCAATTGATTCTCCTGCCTCAGCCGCTAGAGCAGCTGGTAGGCATGCTCCACCATGCCCAGCTAATTTTTATATTTGTAGTAGAGACAGACAGGGTTTCACCGCGTTTGCCAGGCTAATCTCAAACTCCTGACCTCAAGTGATCCACCCAGCTGGGCCTCCCCAAATTGCTGGGATTACAGGCATAAGCAGCCATGCCTGGCCCTTGTGTACCCTATATGAGGAAGTCCTGCTTTTCATCAGGATTGGTCATGCAGGCCCTGGTTCCATGTCCTGTGGAAGACAAAAGCTTACCAAGATAGCTTTTCCCTTCATGGTGGCAGATAGTGTTGCCCCCTGTACATCTACAACTTGGAAATGCCCACCATTTTTTCCCCTAGGCTTCAGAATAGAATCACCTGGTTCTCTGATGATCAGCACTCTTCCTGAAAACCCAGGTCAGGAAGGAGTGAACAATTTTTGTTTGCCTGGGATGAAATTAGCACTGTTTGGCTTTGTAGGCCCCAGATAGGCAGGCAGCTTAATTTTTTCCTTGCATATTCTAGTCTCCAGAAATATTGCCCTTTGTCCTGCTGGTAATGACATAGCAGATAGTAGATCAGCAAGTGGGCATCTGGGGGTTTTCGTCCTGAAAACAGTGAGTCTGATACTGCTCGTGTTTTTCATCAGTGTCCACCCCAAGTGGTTCTTCCTGCTACTCACTTCACTTAGTTGCCCCCCACTTGCCATCTGAGCAATTGGTAAGGATGCTCAGGCCGAGGATAAACTTGGAAACATACCTGACCATTCTATTCCCTGGTCCTATCAGATCAATTTGGCTGCAGTTTTGGCTCCTGGGACCGTCAAGCATAGCTGGGACTTAGAGGTGCAACTGCCTTAAAATGTGCCAGCTTATGAAGTAATTAGATGGGTTCTCTCCAGAGGTAACCTGCCAAGAAGAGAAGCTATAGATGTTAATCTTATACTGTAAAACATTGTGAAATCAGATTACTTTAAAATGATGTATTACAAAGTTATGGAAAAAAATTGTGACTTTGGAAGCCCAAGGCTTGTATCTCAGCTCTTACAGTAAATATGGGTACAATGTTTCCACTCTGTAAAATGGGAGCTAATACCCTCCAATCTGTGTGCCTGATACGGTGGTTAAAAGGTTTAAGCAAAACAATAGTTTGTGATGTATTCTGTCGGAGCAAACTGCTGGTAAATAAATAAAAGGGAGGGCCTGGCGTGGTGGCTCACACCTGTAACCCCAGCACTTTGGGAGGCCGAGGTGGGCAGATCACAGGTCAGGAGTTCGAGACAAGCCTGACCAACATGGTGAAACCCCACCTCTACTAAAATTACAAAAATTAGCTGGGCATGGTGGCATGTGCCTGTAATCCCAGCTACTTGGGAGACTGAGGCAGGAGAATCGCTTGAACCCAGGAGGCGAGGTTGCAGCGAGCCGGGACTGCACCACTGCACTCCAGCCTGGCGAAAGAGACTCCTCAAAAAAAATAAAAGGGAGGCCGGATGCGGTGGCTCACGCTTGTAATCCCAGCACTTTGGGAGGCCGAGGCGGGTGGATCATGAGGTCAAGAGACCGAGACCATCCTGGTCAACATGGTGAAACCCCGTCTCTACTAAACACAAAAAATTAGCTGAGCATGGTGGCATGTGCCTGTAGTCCCAGCTACTTGGGAGGCTGAGGCAGAATTGCTTGAACCCAGGAGGCGGAGGTTGCAGTGAGCCGAGATCACGCCATTGCACTCCAGCCTGGGTAACGAGCGAAACTCCGTCTCAAAAAAAATAAAGAAAATAAAAGGGAGTACGTTGACTAAAAATAAGGTTTGTTTTTTTTTTTAAATAAAAAGCATAATAAGACAAGTTTGTAACTTATAATTGTATACAAATAAGTTATAAAATTTGTGCACTTGTATATATGTACCATGACATAACTAATTCTTTGAACAAGTTTTGAGACAATCCTTATTTTTGCGAAAAGCTAGACCTGTTACATAATCTGTGGGTTAGGGTATGTTCATGTCAGCACGCACCAGGTACACTCTAGCTTTTGTAAAGAAAGAAAAATCGCCGGGCGCGGTGGCTCAAGCCTGTAATCCCAGCACTTTGGGAGGCCGAGGCGGGTGGATCACGAGGTAGAGAGATCGAGACCATCCTGGTCAACATGGTGAAACCCCGTCTCTACTAAAAATACAAAAAGTTAGTTGGGCATGGTGGCGCGTGCCTGTAATCCCAGCTACTCAGGAGGCTGAGGCAGGAGAATTGCCTGAGCCCAGGAGGCGGAGGTTGCGGTGAGCCGAGATCGCACCATTGCACTCCAGCCTGGGTGACAAGAGCGAAACTCCGTCTCAAAAAAAAAAAAGAAAGAAAGAAATAAAGTAAAATCTAGTGTTGAGAAAGTAAGCGGACTGAGCCAGGCGGCGTATTTAACATAAAAGGACTAATTTCAGAGTAGCTGTGGTACCCTTTCCAAAGTTCTAATTTTGTAGCCCCTTGCCTGATCCAGCTGATTCCAAGAGCCAAGATTTTAGTCTTGGTTTATTTAAATGCTTTGGGCTTTCCTTTATTTAATGTATCTTCAAAGTCATTTCTGGGCCCAAGTTACATCATCAAACCTTTTATTACATATACGGGCTGAAACAGAATTTTTCTTAACTGCGTATCATGTCCCAGAAATGCAAATACAAAACCCCGATGGCGGTTGCAGGAACAAGTCCAGCTGAGACAGGTCAGGGCGAAAAGATGAGTAACTGGCATTCAGGGTACTGGAGCCACGCCCTCCAGATCTCCGCGGGAAAGGACCTCGAACCTCAGGACCCCACTGTATGCCATGAAGAAGGTGCAGTCGTTGCCTCAGCCAAGCCAGGGTCCGCCGGGGCCGGGGCCGTTCCTATCTTGAGGGTCGGAGCAGGGGACTCGGCCAAAGCCGCGGCCTCCCAGGGCTTGGGCCTCCGCGGGAGCCGGGACGCTGTGGGTTCGCCGTGGATCGCCTGGATGTGGCGTCTCTCTAGGCCCGGGATCTCCTGGCCCTGCTGAACCAGCTGCAGGAGCTGCGCCAGGGTGACCGAGGCAGAGGCCGGGGCCGATCGGTGGGGACTGCGGGGACGCTCCATGTCGCGAAGCCTGACGGGCAAGCAGCGAGCACTTCCGGACGGAATGGGTGCAACTACCACGGCGCGGGGGAGGGGGGGTGGAGAGAAGGGGACGCCGTAGACCGTACCAAGCCGGCCCAGAACGGGGGGAGCACTTGAGAGCTCTGACCCAGCTTCCTGCAGAAACGCTTTAGACGCATGCACGATTTAGCCAAACCCAGAGTGCCCAACTTGGAATGTGCTTTAGAAGAAAAAGTGAGGGACGCGTCAAAACTTGAAGGCTAGCTCAGGACGGAACGTGCCTGCGGACGCGCCGCTGCAGGCAAAAAGACCCGTACATGCATCGGCACCGCGCACATGCCCACTTTTGTGCACACCCAGAGGCGCTCCTACAGGGATTCAGGTACAACGCATGGCGGGGGATAATCCCCATTCTAGGCTTCGCAGCACCGGACAAAGCATAACTGTAGAGTTGTTCCGAGGGGCCTCAGGAGTGACACCGCCACCAAGCTACGCTACTTTTTTTTTTTTTTTTTTTGAGACGGAGTTTCGCTCTTGTTGCCCACGCTGGAGTGCAGTTTCGCTCTTATTACCCAGGCTGGAGTGCAATGGCGCGATCTCGGCTCACCGCCACCTCCGCCTCCTGGGTTCAGGCAATTCTTCTGCCTCAGCCTCCTGAGTAGCTGGGATTACAGGCACGTGCCACCATGCCCAGCTACTTTTTTTTGTATTTTTAGTAGAGACAGGGTTTCACCATGTTGACCAGGATGGTCTCGATCTCTCGACCTCGTGATCCACCCGCTTCGGCCTCCCCAAGTGCTGGGATTACAGGCTTGAGCCACCGCGCCCGGCCTAATTATTATTATTAAGAGAGTAGCGCCGGGCGCGGTGGCTCAAGCCTGTAATCCCAGCACTTGGGGAGGCCGAAGCGGGTGGATCACGAGGTCGA